AAATTTTTTTTCTCATGTTGAGAACTTTTAAGATCTGCTCTCAGCAATTGTCAAATATGCACTAACTATAGTCACCATGCTGTACATTACATCCCCGTGACATTTATTTCATAACTGCAAGTTTATACGTTTTGACCCTATTCAGTCTCTTCAGTAAGTCTGTACCTTTTGACCTATAAGCAATAACATTATTAATATTTTAGATACACAGTTTTTAATCAGAGTTTTTACTTTCTTAACAGAATAGCTTGAGTATTTTTGAGGGCACTAAATGCTTCAAAAAATGCTCAAAAACATCATTTTAATAGACTTACAATAAATAGGCTTATGTGTATAAGGTATATAAATTATTTAACCATTTCCCCTTTGGTGAATATTGATTTCTAATTTTTCAATTGTGTAGATAATGTAGTGATCAAACTTGTTGAACATCATCTGCGTTTCTGATTCTTTAATTACAAGAGATTCCTAAAAGCGAAATCCCTGGGTCAAAGTATATAAGACATCTTAACTTACACATACAGTTAAATTTACCTTCAGAAAGAGAGTACCAATTTAGACAGCAAATGAGAGCATTCCACCATTGACAATGTGACAAACAAAATGTATCTTGGGTTTTTATTTGTGTTCTGGATTATTCTAACCAGACTGTACAGAGCAGAGAGAACCTTTTCTTGTTTTTCATCACTCCTATGATCTCAGTTCCTGGAGCAATGCCTGGCACACAATAAATATTTATTGAATTAATTATGTAAGTAAATAGTATGCTAAGCATACATCAAAACTGGAATTTCATACATTGCTGACAAATACTTAGGGGTTCTCAACACAGAACCTGTTAGGAAAACAAGTTTCCCTGTTAGGAAAATAAGTAAAGTTATGCACCATAAGATGGGACTGACATAAGCTCTAGTTTCTAGCTTAGAGACTCCTTTTCCAGGTTCTTCTTCTTGCCCTGCTTGCTGTCTGCGCCAAATTACTACAATGCGGAATGCAGAAGTAACAGACTATAAATTGCCCCCCACCCCCCATGCTTGTGCTTGAGGCTCAGACTTCTGGAGAATGATCTCCTTTGAGCCCACCGGTGTAAAATAAACCTCCTGCCTTCCAAGATCTCCGAGTGCCGCTTGGTTTTTCCTCCAGCGTTCCAACCTGGTTCCGTAACATATTTGGTTCCCTGACCAGGAAACCCAACCGGGCTGGCCCATTGTTACCACCGGTTTGGGAAAATGACACGGCAGTGACAGAATCAGGAATCACAACGGAGAAGGCAAGTCCTGCCTGAATTTCGGCAGTCTCTCCCTCGGTCTCCTCAGGCTGGCCCCGCTCCGCCATTCCCGCCGGACACGAGGAGACTTGGCAGGTGAGGACCTGGACCTGACGTCGGAACTGGTAAGGCCAGGCCCCAGTCTAGTCAGACCCACTCACAAGAGTGGAAGGGGGACCTGATCACTCCCCGTAGACTTCAGTGGTCTCACAGGTAGGAATTCTGGTACAGGGCCCCAATTCAGTCCGGCCCACCCTTAGAGGTGCAACGGGGACCTGATCACTCCCCAAAGACATCATAGGTAGGAATTCTGTGGGAGGGAATGTAATAACCTCTGGTGTGTATGTGAGTGTGAACATGCGACTCGGTCTGGCTCGCCTGCCAAGTTCGATTCTGTGGCTCCACGGGTGGGCACCGTTAAGGTTCCCAAAAGCCCACAGGGTTTACATGGGCCCGTCTGCGATTCAGTGGTGAACAGCATACAGTCCATGGCGGCATCAGGCCAGGGAAGGTCCAGCCGCCAAAAGCGGGGGAAGCCCAGAGCCCCCTTAGCAAAAGACTTACCGCAAGGAAAAGGGATACTGGAAGAATGAGTGCCTGAATCGGAAGGGGCCCCCAAAGCCCAGCCGATATCAGGAGGAACCTCAAGAAGGGGACCTTATTGGTCTAGGCGGAGATAGAATCAGACCGAAGGGGACACTTACTCTGTATGTTCCTCTGCCTAATAGATGTGAGGGCTTCTCCCTCATTCATTTTCCGGGTTAACAGCTATAATTGGAGCCAAGTGTGGTAGTCTTCCTCGGGACAAGGACTTTAAGGAATATTCCCAAGCAGTTGCTGCTTCGCCTTCCCCTCCCCCTCATGTTTCTGCACCAACTTGGGTGTGGTCCTATACCATCCTCAGTGCCTCAGGCACCAATGGTTCCTCCTCCCACCCTCGAGGTCAAGGAGCAAAGTGCACCCCCTTGGACCACCCACTTCAGATGCCTCCACTGGTGTCCCAGGTGAAAATTGACGATGGGAAAAAATTGATTGCTTTTAAGTGGACGCAGGCAAAACATATTCGGTGTTTAAACTAATTTAAGTTTGGGGCATCTGGGTGGCTCAGTCAGTTAAGCATCCGACTTCAGCTCAGGGCATGATCTCGTGGTCTGTGAGTTTGAGCCCCGCGTCGGGCTCTGTGCTGACAGCTTGGAGCCTGGAGCCTGCTTCGGATTCTGTGTCTCCTTCTCTTTCTGCCCCTTCCCCACTTGTGCTCTGTCTTTCTCTATCTATCAAAAATAAATAAATGTAAAAAAAAAATTGGCCAACTAATCTTTGACAAAGCAGGAAAGAATATCCAATGGAATAAAGACAGTCTCTTCAAGTGGTGCTGGGAAAACTGGACAGCGGCATGCAGAAGAATGAACCTGGACCACTTTCTTACACCATACACAAAAATAAACTCAAAATGGATGAAAGACCTAAATGTAAGACAGGAAGCCATCAAAATCCTCAAGGAGAAAGCAGGCAAAAACCTTTCATCTTGGCCGCAGCAACTTCTTACTCAACATGTCTCTGGAGGCAAGGGAAACAAAAGCAAAAATGAACTCTTAGGACCTCATAAAAATAAAAATCTTCTGCACAGCGAAGGTAAACAATCAGCAAAACTAAAAGGCAACCAGAAGATATTTGCAAATGACATATGAGATAAAGGGTAAGTATCCAAAATCTATAAAGAACTTCTCAAACTAAACCCCCAAAAAACAAATAATCCAGTGAAAAAATGGGCAAAAGACATGAATAGACACTTCTCCAAAGAAGACATCCAGATGCCAACCGACACATGAAAAAATGCTCAACATCATTCATCCTCAGGGAAATACAAATCAAAACCACAATGAGATACCACCTTACACCTGTCAGAATGGCTAACATTAACAACTCAGGCAACAATAGATGTTGGTGAGGATGTGGAGAAAGAGGATCTTTCTCCAGCTTGGGAATGCAAGCTGGTGCCGCCACTCTGGAAAACAGTATGGAGGTTCCTCAAAAAACTAAAAATAGAACTACCCTATGACACAGCAATTGCACTACTCACCATTTATCCATGGGATACAGGTGTGCTGTTTCGAAGGGACACATGCACCCCCATGTTTATAGCAGCACTATCAACAATATCCAGAGTATGGAAAGAGCCCAAATGTCCATCGATGGATGAATGGATAAAGATGTGGTATATATATATAATGGAGTATTACTCGACAATCAAAAAGAATGAAATCTTGCCATTTGCAACTACATGGATGGAACTGGAGGGTATTATGCTAAGTGAAATTAGAGAAAGACAAAAATCATATGACTTCACTCATATGAGGACTTTAAGATACAAAACAGATGAACATAAGGGAAGGGAAACAAAAACAATATAAAAACAGGGAGGGGGACAAAACAGAAGAGACTGATAAATTTGGAGAACAAACTGAGGGTTACTGGAGGGGTTGTGGGAGGGGGGATGGGCTAAATGGGTAAAGGGCACTAAGGAATCTACTCCTGAAATCATTGTTGCACTATATGCTAACTAATTTGAATGTAAATTTTTAAAAATAAAAAATAAAATTTAAAAAAACATAATTTTAAAAAATGCAAAAAAAATTTTTTGAACTAATTTAAGTTTGTTGGACCTGTGTTTAAAGTTATCAGCAAAGGTCAAAAAGCTCATGTTATCTCTGTTGCAATTTGTTAGCAAAAAGATGACTTAAAATGATAGTTAATTTTGTCTGTCTCAAAGTTTTCATGGGTAATTGTTAAGATAGCTTTTAAGGTCTTTGGTAACCTGAAACTTTCCAAATAGGATGGAGTGCTAAAGCTTTGATTACTCAACATAGGTTTGTGTTTTTAACTTCTTATTGCAGAGAAACGAAGGCTGTTTGGACCTAATGGAAAACATGCTTTGTGCTTAATTGGTTCATGAACTTATCATCTAAAAAAATTCTGGTGTAAACAAGGAAAGCAACCCTGTATGTAGGAAAGTAGGAGGTATGTAAGAAAGATATAAGGAATGGAAATACATTTTTTATTGAGAGTAAAAGAAAATAATTTTGTCCTAAATGAGACTGGTTGTTTGGAGAGAAATGGCTTTGGTACAAAGTTTGAAGGCAAAGGAAAGTTGTAGAAGGTTCGTGAAGGGAAATCTTTGGAAAGGAATTTTGTGTGTGCTCAGGATGGATTAAGGTTGAGATAAATGGAATTTGAAAAGTACACTGGTATAAGGTTGAAATCCTGCCTTTCTCTGTGTTCAAAAGACAAAGTTTTCTTGGACTGTTGATCTGCTCTTGATAAGACAGTGTAAACAAAGGGTTTTTTTTTTCTCCTTTGTCTGCTGGGAAAACCAAAGCTTTAGATTTCATTTTTATGAGGTCTTTCACGAAAGAATTTCTAGAACTAAAAAAGCTGCGTTCAAACTGAACAAGAACTAGAAACATAGGACTAAATGAACTGAGGAAGATTATAGTTTTGAGACTCTTGTTGGAAATATTGCTGGTTCTCTAATGTTTGCTCTTCCAGATTAAGAATACACAGAAATTCATTTGTAAACTGAAGCGTTTATCTTTTCTCTCTACCTAAACTCTCTGAAATTCAAAAATTCTCAGTATTCTTTCTTTCATAGCAATTACAGTTGTTTGCATAAGTTCAATAAGAATCTGTTCATCTTGTTACAGATCACTATTGGAAATACTGGTTATTTTACCAAGGCTTTGACTGGAATGTCATATTTGAGAATTATATGCATAGACTCAATATGACCAGACAGCTTTAAGGAACTAAGGTTGGCTTTATGAAATACAGAGCCATAAAGCCTCTTAGAAATGTTGGCCTGATACCTTGCTTGCAGAGTTCCCAGCAGTCTCACTAGGTGAGTAAAGAAGGTCACTTCCTGGGGCGCCTGGGTGGCGCAGTCAGTTAAGCGTCCGACTTCAGCCAGGTCACGATCTCGTGGTCTGTGAGTTCGAGCCCCGCGTCGGGCTCTGGGCTGATGGCTCAGAGCCTGGAGCCTGTTTCCGATTCTGTGTCTCCCTCTCTCTCTGCCCCTCCCCCGTTCATGCTCTGTCTCTCTCTGTCCCAAAAATAAATAAACATTGAAAAAAAAATTAAAAAAAAAAAAAGGTCACTTCCTGGCAGGTGCAGGAACCTCAGAATATCTTGGGGACCTCATGAAGAGGAATTTGCCCAATTCTACAGGTGTTGCAGGCCTGTCTGATGGCAAGTATTTGGCTTGGCTTCTGGCCTGGAGAGGCTACTAAAAGTTCAATATGGAGATTCCTTACAAAAGGTTCCAACAAAGCAAACTTTGTCACTATTTTTGCTGAGCTTATGTAAATAATTAGGCCAGGTTTGTTAAGACTGGATTTGTTCTACAAATGCGTTGGTCTCGATTTGGCTATCTCTGGAAATGGGGGGTTTTAGAGAGAAAAACTATGTTTTAACAACACACTGTTATGAGTGTTAAATTCCAGTTCTGATTGTCTTTAAATGTTTGTTTGCCTAAACTAGACACCTTGAGGTAAACTTTAGAAAAATTGTCACAGTATTTCATGTATAGACAATCTTCTGTGGTGGTTATTCTGTGGGGATAATAATAAGACCCCATGGGTCCATCACTCCAGAATTAAGAAGGCCAACTCTAAAGAGCCCTCAACCTGGAAAAGTAACTCAGACCTGGTCGACCCGCTTAAACTGACCCTCAAAAAGATGCTGGCCCCTGAGATCTTCAGCCCTGCTCCAGCCACACCCCGGAAGCTGGCTGGCCTGCGCACAGCAGAAGCTTGAGGAATCAGTGTGTGGACTAAGTCCAGGTGTTTGGATGCAACTCTGCCAACTCTTGCTCCTTACTATTGGACTATTAGAGGCTGCCCCACAAACTGGAAATCCTGGCTTCCTGCCCTGGCAGGGCCCCTCCTTTCCATAATTTTACTTGTGACCATCGGCCTCTGTATCTTAAAACCCTGGTATGCTTCACTGAAAACACCATTGCTTGCCAAACTGCAACACACACCTTAGCCTTCCAAGGGTACCAACCCCTAGAGCTAAAGGGTGATGCGTACTAAAAAAATATCTTTAAAAGAGGCATCAAAGGGGGAAATGTTGGGAAAATAAGTAAAGTTATGCACCATCACATGGCCTATGGGACTGACATGAGCTCTAGTTTCTAGCTTAGAGACCCCTCTTCCGGGTTCTTCTTCCTGCCCTGCTTGCCATGCGTGCCAAATTACTACTAATGTGGAATGCGGAAGTAACAGATGATGAATTGTCCCCCTGCTTGTGCTTGGTTCTCAGACCTCTGGAGAATGATCTCCTCTGAGCCCACCAGTGTAAAATAAACCTCCTGCCTTCCAAGATCTCTGAGTGCCACTTGGTCTTTCCGCCAGCATTCCAGCCTGGTTCCATAACATGCCAGCCAACATTTCTGTTTCAGGAGCATCACTGTTATTGTCAGTACACTGCAGTTGGTTCATGCAATTACATGGAAATTTTATTATAGATTGCCTTTCTTATTTTAGAAAACTTGAATAGAGAACAAATTAAAGTTCTGATACTAGAGCATAGTTTTCACAAATTTAACAGAATTAATACTATCATAGGTGTGCCTAAAGGAGCACATTTTTAACCTCATTGAACTTCAGCCTCATTGGTCCTAACCATCAGCTACATGTTCAATTGGATGAGAAAATATATATTGAAAAGACTGCTTAATTTTTCCATAGTGATCATGAAATACATGTGCAAGTTTTAAAAATACAGGCAGGGGTCGTGGGGTGCCTGGGTGGCTCAGTCCATTAAGTGTCTAACTTCAGCCCAGGTCATGATCTCACAGTTCCTGAGTTCGAGCCCCACATCAGGCTCTCCAATCTCAGTGCAGAGCCCACTTCAGATCCTCTGTTTCCCTCTCTCCCTGCACTCCCCAGCTCATTTCTCTCTCTCTCTCTCTCTCTCTCTCTCTCTCAAAAATAAACATTTAAAAATAAATAAGTAAAAACTGTGTTTGTTTAGGGGCACCTGGGTGACTCAGTCAGTTAAGCATCCTACTCTTGATCTTGGCTCAGGTCATGATCTCCTGGTTCTTGAGACCGAGCCACACATCAGGCTCTCTGCTGACAGCACACAGCCTGCTTGGGATTCTCTCTCCCCCTCTCTCTCTCTACCCCTACCCCACTGATGCGCTCTCTCTCTCTCTCTCTCTCTCTCTCTCTCAAAATAAACTTTTAAAAAATAATAATAAATAATGAAAGTACAGTGTTTACTTTTTTGAAGTTTTCTTAATCTAGTTTAGAAGGATAAAATTTTGTAACTCAGTACTTTGAAGCTTCTAGATATACTGCATTGCTTCTCAAATGAAAACATTTCTTTTTGTTGTTGTTTATTTTGAGAGAGCATGCGAGCATGCATGCGTGGGAGAAGGGTAGAGAGAAGAGGGAAAGAGAGAATCCCAAGCAGGCTCTTCACTCTTTGTGTGGAGCTCGATGCTGGCCTTGAACTCACTAACCCTGAGATCATGACCTGAGTGGAAATTAAGAGACCACCACTTAAACAGAAGCCTAACTGCTTTACAGGTTTCTAAGAATAATAGATAATACTTATTGAGTATTTTTTATGTGCTAGACATGGTTCTGAGAACATTTACTCCTCAGAGCACCCCCATGAGATAAATGCTATTATAATCTCCATCTTTATTTTACAAATAAGTACATGGAGGCTCAGAAAATTTAAGTAACTTGCCCAAGTCCTACATTTAGGTAATACCTAAGGTTGAACCTAATTAACCGTCGAATCCTAGAGTCCATGTTCTTAACCACTATGCTTTAGAATATATGCAAGGACCAGAATTTGAGAAACTCTCACTTAAGGAACTAAAATCTTAGTTCCATGAAATTGTAAACTAACACTGAAAATGAGAAATTTTGTCTTAAGTGCAAAATAATTTTTCAGATCACTGAAATGAAAACTCAGAACTTTGGAGCACCTGAGTGGCTCAGTCAGTTAAGCATCTGACTCTTGATTTCCTTTCAGGTCATGATCTCACAGTTTGTGGGTTCAAGCCCTACATCAGGCTCCACATTGAGAGTGTGGAATCTGCTTGGGATTCCCTCTCTCTCTCTCTCCTCTCTCTCTCTCTCTCTCTCTCTCTCTCTCCCCCTCCCTGCCTCTTCCTCCCCTCTCTGTCCTTCCCTTCTCTCTTTCTCTCTCTGCCCTTCCCCTCTCGCTCTCTCTTCTCTCTCAAAATAATTAAATAAACTTAAAAAAATCAGAACTTTAAAATTCTCTTACAATTTACAGACACTCAAAAATACAAAGGAATTTGGTATAAGAAACATTAGAATTTAATTCCAGTATACACAGTGTTATATTAGTTGCAGGTGTACACTATAGTGATTCACCAATTCTATACATTATTCAATGCTCATCACGATGAGTGTACTCCTAATCCCCTTCACCTATTTCACCCATTCCGCCCCCCCCCCCACCTTCCCTCTGGTAGCCATCAGTTTGTTCTCTATAGTTAAGAGTCTGTTTTTCAGTTTGTCTCTTATTTTCCTTTGTTCATTTGCTTGTTTCTTAAAATCTACATGTGAGTGAAATCATATGGTATTTATCGTTCTCAGATTGATTTATCTCACTTAGCATTATGCCCCCTAGATCCAACCATGTTGTTGCAAATGGAAAAATTTCATTCTTTTTATGGCTGAATAATATTCCATTGTCTATATATACCACATCTTCTTTATCCATTCATCTATTGATGCACACTTGGGCTGCTTCCATAATTTGGCTATTGTAAATAATGCTTCAATAAATATTGGGGTGCACATATTCTTTCAAATTAGTGTTTTCTTGTTCTTCGAGTAAATATCCAGCTGTGTTATTACTGGGATATATGGTCATTCTATTTTTAAAATTTTGAGGAACCATCCTTCACAGTGGCTATACCAGTTTACATTCCTACCACCAGTGCCCCAGGATTCCTCTTTCTCCACATCATCACCAACACTTCTTGTTTGGTTTTTTTGTTTGTTTGTTTTTTATTTTAGCCATTCTGACATGTGTGAGGTGATATCTCATTGGGGTTTGATTTTTATCTCTCTGATGATAAGTGATGTAGAGCATACTTTCATGTGTGTTGGCCATCTGTGTCTTTCTTGGAGAAATGTTTGTTCATGTCTTCATGAATGTTCATGCCCATTTTTTATGTTATTTGTGGGGGGGTTTTGATGTTGAGTTATATATGTTCTTTATGTATTTTGCATACTAACCCTCTATTGGATATGTCATTTGCAAATATCTTCTCCCATTCAGTATGTTGTCTTTTAGTTTTGTTGATTGTTTTTTTCCACTGTCCAGAAGCTTTTTATTTTTATATAGTCCCAATCATTTATTTTTGCTTTTGTTTCCCTTGCTTCAGGAGACATACATAGAAAAACATTGTTATGACCAATGTCAGTGAAATTACTGCCTGTGCTCTCTTCTAGAGTTTTTGTGGTTTCAGATCTCACAGTTAGGTCCTTAATCCATTTGAGTTTACTTTTGTGTATTATGTAAGAGAGTGGTCCAGTTTCATTCTTTTGGATGTAGCTGTCCAGTTATCCCAGCACCATATGTTGAAGAGACTGTCTTTTTCCCATTGCAAATTCTTGCTTCCTTTGTTGAAGATTAATTATCATATAATCATGGGTTTATTTCTAGGCTCTATTCTGTTTCATTGATCTATAAGTCTATTTTTGTACCAGTTATACATTTTGATTACTACAGCTTTGTAGTAATCTGGGATTGTGTCACCTCCAATTTTGTTCTTTTTCAGATTGCTTTGGTTAATCAGGATCTTTTGTGGTGCCATACAAATTTTAGGATCATTTGTTCCAGTTCAGTCAAAAATGCTGTTGGTATTTTGATAGGGATTGCATTACATCTGTAGATTGCTTTCGGTAGTATGAACATTTTAATATTTGTTCTTCCAATCCATGAGCATGGAATATCTTTCCATTTGCTTGTGTCATTTTCAATTTCTCTCATCAATGTTTTATAGTCCTCAGAGTACAGGTTTTTCACCTCCTTGGTTAAGTTTATTCCTAGATGTTTTATTATTTTTGGTGCAATTGTAAATGGGATTATTTTCTTAATTTCTATGAAACACTAGAATTTGAAAGCAAATGTATCATTTTATCATTTATGAAAAATGTGTGAAATTCCAAACAAAATTAAAAGAAATACTAGAAAACTGTATTGTCTTAAGCACGCAAGATTTATTTCTGATTACATAAAAATAGTTGTTGACCAAGTGTAAGGGTTTTTTTGTTTGTTTTGTTTTGTTTTTTAAGAGAGAATGGGATTACAAGCAGGGAATAAGGGCAGAGGGAGAGAGAGAAGGGAGAGGGAAAGAGAGAGAGAGAGAGAGATGAGAGAGAATCCTAACTAGGCTCCATGCTCAGCCTGATGCAGAGCTCAATCCCATGACCCTAGGATCATGGCCTGAGCTAAAACCAAGAATCAGACATTTAACCAACTGAGCCACCCAGAAGCCTCAATTCTGCTGCATTCTAAAATCTGAGAAACACTGTTCTAGAACAAATAAAAATGCTTGAGAAACTTACACTTGGTCAGGGCACCTGGGCAGCTCAGTCACGTAAGCGTCCGACTCTTGATTTCAGCTCAGGTCATGATCTCACAGTTTGTGATATCAAGCCCTGAGTTGGGCTCTGCACTGACAGCATGGAGTCTGCTTGGGATTCTCTCACCTCTTTCTCTCTCTGTTCCTTGCCAGCTCAAGCTCGCTTTCTCTCTCTCTCTCTCTCTCTCTCTCTCTCTCTCTCTATCTCTCTCTCTCGTCTCTTTCTCTCTCAAATATAAATAAACTCTTAAAAATTAAAAAAAAAAAGTGCATCAGAATCATCTTTGGGGGATTTGTTAAAATACAGATTACTGAACTTCATGCCCAGAATTTCTGATTTCATAAGTCTGAGATGAGGCACAAGAATTTACATTTCTAACAGGTTTCCAAGTGATGCTGATGCTATACTTGAAGAATCATATAGAAAATGCATGATATGGGGCGCCTGGGTGGCGCAGTCGGTTAAGCGTCCGACTTCAGCCAGGTCACGATCTCGCGGTCCGTGAGTTCGAGCCCTGCTGATGGCTCGGAGCCTGGAGCCTGTTTCCGATTCTGTGTCTCCCTCTCTCTCTGCCCCTCCCCCATTCATGCTCTGTCTCTCTCTGTCCCAAAAATAAATAAATGTTGAAAAAAAAAAAAAGAAAGAAAATGCATGATGTTTCTAATGCCTTAAATCATAAAAATATTTATCTAAAATGTTATATAATTTTATTTTAATTTTTATTCTTGGTCAAAAAG